TTAATGTATTGTCTAGGCTGCTTTCATGCTATGACAGAGTTGAGTAATTGTGATGGGGTAGTATGGCCTGCCAAGTCTAAATTATTTACCACCTGGTCCCTTAAAAAAAGTTTGATGGCATCTAAGAATTGATATTATTATTTTAATATTCATTTCTCTGATTATTTGAATGTGCTGGCCTTTGGTTTTCTTTTTTGTAACTTGCCTGTTTGTAAACTTTTTGATTTTTTTCTTGCTGATACATAAAAGTAAATCATATTCTAGTAACCTTCAGGAAATCAAATTTGGAAATGTAAAGAGGGCAAAATTCAAAGTTTAAATAATGTTGAGGGAAGTGGCTGGAGAGGCAGAAAAGGCAGCAGATAGAAGTCACACTTTCAAGAAACTGAAAAGAATGAAATTTGATGATGACTAGTGAATATTTGAGCATATTTAGAGGTTCAATACAAAGTGAGTCAGGTTACAGATACTGAACCACTGAACTGGGGGAGTCAATTCTGAGATCAATGTCTAAAGTGAGAGGAAGGTAAGAGTTATAGGCAAATATGCAATGATGTGGTGAGAACATGTCACTCATAGCTTACTTGGTGTCCATGAGATAGCTTACAGACCTGCATTTCAGCTGTTACGTTAAATCTGCAAGGAGGTGGGGAAGGTGGAGTTTTTAGTGAAAGGCAAGGTGGTGGTGTAGTTAAGCAAGTTAGAATCTTAAGGATTAAGGGCCAAATTTATGTAAAATTTAATCATTTAGTTGAATAAGTGAGAACCTTTCAAACAATGATAAACGCTGCTAGTTAAGAAGTGTAAGATCCAGGAAATCACATTCAGTAAAATTGCTTTAGAGTGTTCTTTCTTAAATGTGTTACTGAGCATTCTAAAATGAAAGATGGCCAAAAATATGCCACTGTAGACACTATTCAGCACTTGAAGTTATCCCATGTGGCTTTTATACTGCTGGTCTGAAAATATTTAAAGTGATATTCTAAACGTGTAATTTTATGAAAATAATATAGTAACACAACTGAGTCATTTTTTTCAGTCAGATGTTAATCAACATTTTTTTTTTCATTTTTAAGGTAATGCTTTTTGTTTGCTTGTTTTGAGTTGGAGTCTCACTCTGTCACCCAGGCTGGAGTGCAGTAGCATACTCACTGCCACCCCAGTGTCAACGGCTGGAGTCTCCGGTGATCGTTCCATCTTAGCCTTCCAAGTAGCCAGAACTACAGGTGTGCGCTACCACACCTGGCTATTTTTTTTTATTTATAAGGTCTCACCAAGTTGCCCGGGCTGGTCTCGAACCCATGGGCCCAGGCAATCCACTTGCCTCAGCCTCCCAAAGTGCTGGGATTACAGGCTGAGCCACTGAGCCCAGCCCTGGTAATATTTTAAAGTCTGTTATTTAGTTCTGTTAGCAACTGTATTAAAGATTGTGATGTTACCAGTTTCTCTAAAAGGATACAATAAAATAATTCTGAAATACCCACTTTTCATATCTTAACATGCTTGAAACTTGGTCATGTATTAATTGATAGCATGCCATAATTTATCTAAGTTTTATTTTTCTTTCTTAGTGTACATAAAATACTGACACATTTAGCAATTATTAGAGTCTTAAATTCAGTGAAGTGTATTGAACATCAAAGAGAAGAATCCTAAGACCATGGGATCATGTGTTCAACAATGTATTCATTTGCTAGGACTGCCACAGCAAAGTACCACAGACTGGGTGGCTAACACGACAGAAATATATTTCCTCACAGTTCTAGAGTCTAGAAATCCAAAATCAAGTTATCAACAGGTTGGTTACTTCCAAGGGCCTCTCTTCTTGGCTTGTAGATGGACTGTGTATCTTCACATGGTCTTCCCCCTGTGTGTATCTGTGTCCTAATATCCTCTTTTAAATATTTGTGTTTTTAATTACTATGGGCACATAATAGTTGCATGTGTTTATGAGGCACATATGATGTTTTGATAAAGGCACATAATGTATAATGGTCAAATCAGGATAATTGAGATATTTGTCACTTCAAGCATTTATCATTTCTTTATGTTAGGAACACTCCAATTCTACTCTTTTCTTTATTTTAAAATATACAATAAATTATTGTCAACTATAGTCACCCTATTGTACTACTGAATACTAGATCTTATTTATTCATTCTATCTATTTTTGTACCCATTAACCATTTCTACTTTCTCCCCTCTACCCTTCTTGGACTGTGGTAACCATTATTTTACTCTCTGTCTCTATGCATTCAATTTTTAAGAAAATATTTAGCTCCCACAATGAGTTGAGAACATGTGAAATTTGTCTATGTCTAGCTTACTTCACTTCACTTAACATAATGTCCTTCAGTTCCACCCATGTTGTTGCAAATGACGATTCCATTCATTCTTTTTCACAGCTGAGTAGTATTTAGTTGTGTATCTATACCACATTTTCTTTATCCATTAATTTGTTGATGGACACTTAGGTTGATTCCATACCTTGGCTATTGTGAATAGTGCTGAAATAAACATGGGAGTGCACATATGTCTTCGATATATCAACTTCCTTTCTTTTGGATATATACTCAACAGTGTGATTGTTGGATCATATGGTAGTTCTATTTTTAGTTTTTGAGGAACCTCCATACTGTTTTCTATAGTGGCTGTACTAATTTACATTCCCACCAACAGTCTACAAAGATTCCTGTTTCTCTACATCCTTGGCAGCATCTATCACTGCCTGTCTTTTGGATACAAGCCATTTCAATTGGAATATTAAAATTGTAGTCTTCTCATTTTAGTTTTGGTTTGCATTTCTCTGATGATTAGTAATGTTGAACATTTTTTATATACCTGTTGGCCATTTGTATGTCTTCTTTTGAGAAATGTCTATTCAGATATTTTTTTCTAATGAGTTGCTTGGACTCCTTATGTAGTCTTGTTATTAATTCTTTGAAATATGGGTAGTTTGCAAATATTTTCTCCCATGCTGTGGGTTGTCTATGCACTTTTTGGATTGCTTCCTTTACTGTACTTTTAAGCTTGATGCAATCTCATTTTTCTTTTTCTTTTGAGTTGGAGTCTCACTCTGTCACCCAGACTGGAGTGCAGTGGCCGCTCCCGGCCACCGCAGCCTCAACCTGCTGGGTTCCAGTGATTCTTCCGCCTCAGCCTTCCGAATAGCCAGAATTACAGGCATGCGCTACCATGCCCAGCTAATTTTTTGATTTATTGTAGAGATGAGGTCTCGCCTGCCCAGGCGGGTCTCGAACCCGCAGGCTCAGGCAATCCACTCACCTCAGCCTCCCAAAGGTGCGGGATTACAGGCTGAGCCACCGAGCCCGGCAGCAATCTCATTTTTCTATTTTTGATTTGATTGCCTGTGCTTTTGAGGTATTACTCAATATATCTTGGCCAAGACAATATCCTGGAGTGTTTTCCCAGTGTTTTCTTCTAGCAGTTTCAGGTCTTAGTTTTAAGCCTTTAATGCTTTCTTTTTGTTGTTATTGTTAGAGTCTCACTCTGTCGCCCAGGCTGGAGTGCAGTGGCACACTCACAGCTACCACAGCCTCAACCTGCTGGGGTTCAGGCAATCCTCCCCTTTCAGCCTTCCAAGTAGCTGGAACTACAAGCGTGCACCACCATGCCCATAATTTTTTGATTTATTGTAGAGACAAGGTCTCATCATGTTGCACAAGCTGGTCTTGAACCTCTGGGCTTAGGCAGTCCTCTCGCCTTGGCCTCCCAAAGTGCTGGGATTACAAGTGAGAGCCACCATACCCGACTTTAATTCAGTTTTATTTAATTTTTTTAATATAGCAAGAGATAGGAATCTGGCTTCATACTTCTGCATATGGATGTTCAGTTTTTCCAGCACCATTTATTGAAGAGACTGCTCTTTCCCCCATTGTATTTTCTAGGTGACTTTCTAAAAAATGAGTTGACTGTAAATGCATGGGTTTATTTCTATCTATTCCATTGATGTATGTATCTGTTTTTATGCCAGTTCTTACAAGGATACCAGTTATACTGAATTAAGGCTCACTCCCAATGACCTCATTTAACCTTAATTACCTCTTTAAAGACCCTATCTCCAAATACAATCACATTCTGAGGTACTAGAAGTTAGGACTTTGACATATGAATTTTCAGGAGACACAACTCAGCCCATAATATCAAGGAAGATAAATACTGAATAAAACATGGTATGGCATACTAGAAAGAACATTGAGCTTAAAATGTAAAAGGTTTAAGTTAAACCTAGTGTTGCTTTGCTACTTTTATGTCTTTGAGCAAGTCACTTAATTTCTCTGACCCTCATTTTTCTGATTATTAAAAAGAGATAGTAATATTTTCCCTGTTGTATTTTGAGACTCTAATATAAAATACTGTACATATAAAAGCATTCTGTAAATTGAAAAGTCCTCTTCTCATATGTTATCATTATCATTTATATAGCTATTGATAGCTACAAGAGGGAGAAATTGCAGGTTATAAAAAAGGGTTTAGGGTTTAAAGAATGAATTGAACTCTGTTTAATATGGTTGCAGTACAAAAATATGAGAAAGAACAGCATAATATGTATTCATAGATGTGTATTCTTCAACTTAATATAACAAATTAGTTTATTTTAAGAAATAATTAGATATACTATTGGAATGCCTATTAGTATAATCTATATATACTCAGGAAGTATATCTTTTGTATCACATTTATACATGTTTTTGTCAATAGCAACTATTTTAGCACTTAATTACTGCACATACAGATTAGATCAACTCATTACATTGTGTACGTCACATTCTGATCTTTCCAATACAAAGAAAAAATTGTAACAATATTATTTGATGATGATACTACCTTCCTATATATTACATTTCAATTTTTCTTGGAAATATTTTTTTAATGTTTTACTTATGTTTTAAAACAATTATTTAAGTGAAGGTAGATAACCTTTAATTCAGGAAGTTTGGGATATATATATAATTGATATCATGATTTGTGTTTTTTAGGGAATGAAATCAGTCAAGTTGAAGGACTTGACAACTTACTCGTCCTTCAGGAATTGGTAGTGAACCATAACCGCATCAGAGCATTTAATGACAGTGCTTTTGCCAAACCAAGTTCTTTGTTGGCTCTTCACCTGGAGGAAAACAGACTACGAGAGCTGGGCAAATTACAGCCTTTGGTAAAACTAGAGAAACTCTTTCTAGGATATAATAAGATTCAGGTAACATTATTTTGGTTTTTGTTGTGAGATTTATAACCTTTAATTCTCCCAGAGCTCTGCACGTAAGTCTTCCAAACACACCAATGAAAATTTTGCTAGTATGGTGTTTACATTGTATATACCATCTATATTTCAAGGCATGTAAATACTCTGTGATGCAGGGATGTCCACCCTGCTTCTATACTTATAAACTGGACAAACTCACATGTACCCACTCACTAATAAAGGTTAGCTTTAAATATTGTAAGACTCTTCTCATAAGTCCTCTCAGATCTCATTTGTTCCTTGACTGCTCTTAGTCCAAGTTGTTTCTGAGTCTCAGTTCCAGACTTCCTCTGGCCCTTTAAATGTGTCATATGTAGTTGGTCTTCCTGGCATTTGAATCAACTCCTGACAATGCACTTTACCCTGGCTTTAATATTACATCTCTCCCACTCAAGGCTTTTTTAGATAAGATCCTGCCTTGGTTTTACCTGCTCAAAGTTCAACCTGTTACTTTCAGGCCACTACTTCAACTGAGCCTGCTCACACTATCTCCAGAGATAGCGTACAGATAAGAGAGTTGAAGACATAACCTTATACAGCCCTCACATTTCTCTTTGCAATTCGGTGATGGTCTGTTAGCCCTCCTTTTATCAGCTTTACTACCTCTCCCATTCCTCTAAGACAGCCTTAAAGACAGACTGAACTGTGGCCCACCCCCAAGAGCAGGGCCCACTCTACCTTGTCCACCTTTGTATCAGTAAGTAGCATGGTACCTGGTGCATAATAGATACTTAATACATATTTGGCTTTATTTTCGAGAGTTCAGGAAGCCTTTTTCTGGGAAGATAAAAAAGCTCTGAATAAGATGAGAGGAATTCACGTGCAGTGTCCCTTTCTACACAGCAACTAGGGAATATTTCTCATACAGAGAAAAACTGTATACAACTGGCCAGGCTCAGTGGCTCATCCTGTAATCTCAGCACTTTGGGAGACCAAAGCGAGTGGATTGTCTGAGGCTGCAGGTTTGAGACCAGTCCCTGCAACTTGGCGAGACCTTATCTCTACAATAAATAAAAAATTTCGCAGCAACCTGAATGGAACTAGAGTCTATAATACTGAGTGACCTCTCACAGAAACAAAGATCCGAATATCACATGTTCTCACTCATATAATGGACCTTAAACATCCAATGCAATACTATACGAAAATGACTGACCATACTGGGAAACTATGGTGGGGGGAGGGAGATGGGATTAACAGTAGCAAATATCTGTCTGGGAACGGGGAAACACCCCATATCAACAGGGTGCCTGAATGAAACGCAATTGTATACCTAACCCTTAACCGTACCCCACAACTTCATAATTAAAAAAAAAAAAATTAGTCAGGCATGGTAGTGCACACCTGTAGTTCTAGCTACTTGGAAAGCTAAGGCGGAAGGATCACCAGAGCCCAGCAGGTCAACGCTGGAGTGGCCGTGAGCATACCTCTGCACTCTAGCCTGGGTGATGGAGTGAGACCCCAACTAAAAAAAAAAAAGTATACAACTAATGTATCCAGTTTCAAACATTCATCTGAGAAAAGCCTGCCAAAACTTGTGGTGATTCTTCCTAATCTAAATAGGAAAATTGCTATTCTATAGAAAGTCTTTCCAGTGATAGCAACTGAGCTAACACAAAGAATTCTCAAATCAAACTTAACACTCCTAAGAGATCTTGGTATAAAGCTTTAGTTATAATTTCAAGAATACACAGGGACATTCCTAGTGCCTTTTCAGGTCCTTCCTTCCCACATTACACATAGTCTAGTTTAGAATAAAAGATGAAGTCTCCAAGTAAGATTCTATGGGGGTGATCTTATGCAAGAAGGGTGTGTTTCATTTATGAAACATCTCCATTTTATACTTCAGCTTATGTGGCATTGTATATCCATACCTTATAATTCTATAGATTATAGGTTTATTTACTGTTAACAGTCCTTAACCAGTGAGTTCCATTAAGAGAATACCATAAATAAGGACCTAGCAAATATCATTGCTCTATTTGACAGAATGTTCAATTACCAGCATACTTACAAGAAAATAAGACCAGATAACCTGCTTTTCCTCAGGAATGTTCCTGCCCTACCTCCCCACCCTCTATCCCTCTTAAGGGAGTTAATGGATGGTAGCTCCATTGCTATAACAACTTCCTCCCCAGTAACTTAAACAGAATAATGTTTTGTGAAGCTTATTTATTATCAAAATCTCATATAGCTAAATGACAGACAGCTTATATGATAAATCAAGGGAGAATATGCATATTATTGAATGAAGGAGTGAGCATTATTGATTATTTAATGACCAGCCCTTCTTTGGTTCTTTTTATCCTTTAAATGGTTCTTTCAACTGAACTTAGATTAAGTGCTTTTCCACCAAACTTATTCTAATTATTGATATTATAATATCTTAATATGACCATACATTTAGCTGAGGAAAAAGTGAACTCAGAGGAATAAGAACATTAAGTTGGAAATTCTGTTGAATTCTGCTAAAATATATGTTCTTCAAAATTCTTAACTCTCAATTTAAATTTCTTTTGGAGAAAGACTTTGTTTCTAGATCATACCAATATAGAAAGATTGATACCAGCATTAATTTCCACAATGAGGCAATAATATTGCAGCCTTTGTGTTGATAAAGATTGATTCTGCTTTTAAACAGCCAAATAATCTCCTGAAGCTAGAAATGATTCCAGGAAATAGCCTATTGCTATTTCTTGTCCTAAATGAAGACCCCCAAACCAGACATAACTATTATTATGACTGCCTTAAGTGCTTATTCTGACATTGTATTTAAAAGGTAACAACCATTGGTGTGCTGGTTGATGTTAAACAACTGCCTCTCCTGGGGGAAAAAAGTCCCTAATTAGTAGAATTTGACAATTTCTATAGTATAATTTCTTTACCATCACCAGTGTCAAGTTAACAACCTGTCTTACAAAATTCCTAAAAATTTACCAATTGACTTTTGTGACTCAGTAGCAGCATACTAATATAAAAAATACCTTGAATTAAAAATGGAAAACCATCATCCCTCTCCCTTACAATTATGGACATATTAGTTTGCTTAATGTTTCTTTTTTTTGAGTTGGAGTCTCACTGTTGTTGCACAGGCTGGAGTGCAGTGACACACTCATGGCCACTGTAGCCTTGATCTGCTGGGCTCAGGCGATCCTTACCCTCAGTCTTCTGCTTAATGTTTCTTTACAACTTTTTACCAGAATTATCCTCTACAAATTTAGTAGTCTATGAAAAACAAACATTTTGATTAGGAATATTTCATTAGTGAATGCTGCTAAGCCCTGTTTAATTTGAGAAAATAATAAAAGACTTTTCACAGGTCCATGATTTTCAATCAGGCTTTGGTTACACAGAAACTGCCTGTGGGTAAAAATGTATAACATCTCTATAGACTACTGGATGTTAGAGCTTTATCAAAACTCTCCTTTATAACACTTCCAAAATTAAAATATTAAAAGATCAGTCATTTTAAAAATCAGATTTTACTTTCAAATTATCTAAAACAGGTCTAAACATTTTTTACAGTTGCTAGAAGATTGGCTATATGTCCACTTGTAATTCCAAATAGGAATATGGGAATATCAGTAACTTTGTTGTGTGATTGTGAACTAGCAACAACCTCGAGCTGAGCTTGTTGGCTAAATTTTGTCAGAAATAGCATTTTAGAAATAATTTTGCAAAAACTAAAATGTAATTGAAAACTTCCACCAATGTTCAATGGATACAAATACATAATCCTATGCAGTAGGAAAGGCAAATTATTTAACTAGTCAATTTTTCAGCTGTATATTCCAAGTAAGTATACCAGAATGCAGTCCACTTAATATCACATGATCCTTAATTGTTAAGATTGTGTTTAAATAGGTACCTTTAAAGTTGTTTAGAGTGGATTCACCTTTTCCACACTTCTTGGTCATTACTCTGGAGGAATTAACCAAATATAATGTGAGCCTTAGAATAAACTATAACTCTTTTGAGAAAAAAATTGGTCTTTTCTTGCAACCACTGCTATATGGCTGATTGTCCATGTTTAGGCTGTCATCTTTCCCAGTCATGTATTAGGAATCTGCAGTTCACAGATCTGCCTTTATTTAACAATACGAAATAATGTAACTCAAGCTCATTTCAGAGAATTCAATCAATAGCTTAGCTGCTTTCTAACACATTTAATTACTTCAAATTATCTATAATCGAAGATTTGGGGTCTACCAAATAATAACTTAATGATTGATTTTTCAATAGGATGTTGCAGAACTGGAAAAACTTGATGTTATCTCTTCTCTCAGAGAGCTTACAATTTACGGCAATCCAGTGAGTATGTTACCAGCCTAATTTCTTAGTACCCACATCTAATAAACAAACAAACAAATAAATAAAACGTGTTATTACTTAGCTGATAGTTGTATATAAGTTATTTTATATGCTGTGAGAAAGAGATATAATTTTATTTGTTTCCATATGCATAGCGAGTTAGCCCAGCACATTTTTTTGACTGGAGTCCTCCAACTGATGACAGTATACGTATAAGAAGGTCTGTTTCAGGTTTCTACATGGTATTCATTGGCCTATTTGTCTATTCCTGTACCGATATTATACTAGGTAAATTATTAACATTTTATGTTAAGTCTTGATGTCTGGTAGAATAAGTGTCTCTAGTTCTTCTCTTCCACTTTCTTTTCTTTATCATTATTTATTTCTCCTTCTTCACTGTCTTGACTATTCTTGGCCCTTTACAGTTTTCTATGACTTTTAGGAAACAACTTCTCAAGTTAATAAGAATTTTGTTGGTATTTTTAACTGGAATTGCATTCAGTTTCTTTAAAAAATTTTGGGAAAAATTTGCACTTTTCTTGTTGGGATTTTGGAGGTGATCCAATAAGTAGCACCCTCATTTACTTAATTTCTGAACAAATTGAGAAATGTGACAGTAGACAGGTGAAAATATCTACATAGCTTAGTGAGAAAGTCATATGGGTATATTAACGGCTCTCAGAAACAGGTGATTATGATCACCCAGAAACAGGAAATCCTAGACTAAGGTCTCTCTATGTGAGAGGAGAGTTTCTTTTGGAGGAGCAGAAAACATTTTCCCAGAACACATTCTCCCAGAACACATCCTCCCACGAAGGGGGTTAAAACACTGCTCCTCCAGTAGAAAGGAAGTGAAGGAGTTGAGAGAGCCCAGAAATGTCATATCATAGAGCTACTTCTACCAAGAAGAAAACAGCAATAAGCAGTCTCCTCTAATATTTACAGTATTCAGTCTTTCCATTCATAAACACACAAATTACTCCATTTATCTTATGTATTTTTATAAAGGTTTATCATTTTTTCCATAAAGGTTATAATCATCTTGGGTTAGATTTATTATTGTTTTAATTGCTTTTTAAAATAGTCTCTTTTTATATTTTTCTAATTGTTTGTTGCTCGAGTATATAAATTTTGATTTTTTAATATAGTTCTTTAGGAACTTGGCTAAATCCTCTTTTTAGTTCTAATGACTTGTAAA